CCGCTGCGGTACTTCATCTTGGGAGGGTGTATACCAGTGGCGTATCTACAGGTACATGTCCCTCCCCCTACTCCCCCACCCAAAAAATAACTCGCTCCCCCAGTCTCTTCCCCTCCCATTGAAAATTTTTAAAAAATCACGCTCAATTAGATAAAAATCACTTCATACCACATCTTCGCCCCCACCCTCTTCCCATTTCAAGATTCCTGGATACCCTACTGGTGTGTATAATAATGAAATAGGCCTACTTCTATGTATACTGCTAGCTTTTGAACAGTCGCTTTGTTTACGCCGAATGGTAAAGTTCTCTTGTGAATTGGCTTGAGTAGCCTATTTCAAAGTCAGACAGATTCCCGAATAGGCAGAACACTTAAAGCTAGTTAATATCCACTGATTGTAATTCTTTTCGCAAGACCGATCAGTTGTCATACTAGATGTGAGTAAAAGAGATAACCATAGCATCTCAAACCACTATAGCTGTTAATATTAGACAGGTGGCAATCTCAATGGTAATAGTAATAATTTTAGCTCTTTGCTAACAAAATGGTCTAAATATCCGTTTCTGAAAATGCTGACTTCGAGATACCAAAATATTAAGCCGGGTACTCACTGTGCCCGACCGTCGTCGCCGGTCGAAGCGATTCTATGGAGAACGCAACGCAACGACGGATCGTGTTGAATGACGATCCGTTCACACTGCCATCAACAAATCAGCAGACGGCGCGCCGCGGCGTCGCTTCGTCTAGAGCTCACAGGTAGCAAAATTGGATTTGTTGCACGACGCTATGAGTGCCCGGCTTAAGATATGATGAGCATGGAGAAAAATTGGTACGAGTAGGCCTATATGTAGGCCTATAAGTTTATTAGGTGTGTCATCACAATGGCAGACATAATCCTCTCTATAGTAACGCGTCACCTTTAAGTGCACACACATATTTTTATCGCGATTTTGAAAATATAATAATGTGTTTGTATTATTACATGTTAATATCGCCGACAACGATATTTACGGAATTAATCCGGATTTGAATAATGACGATTATCATATAACAACTCGAAGAATAGTATAAAGTGTTAGAAGGCACTTATATTAAAATCTCTCGCGTAATCCTTCTAGAAAAACACTCAACATATACATATAGTTAAAAGTTGAATTGAGGGAATACGAAGTTGGTTAGCCCGGTTATTACTTTGCGTAATATAAGAACAGAGATGCCCCAGTGAGAGCAGAGAAGTATTCCCATTAAAATATAGAAACATTATCATTAATATGTCTGATGATACCCAGGGACTCGCCACAGTGACAGCTGCATTAAAGAAATTGCGGAGCATCAAGATAGCGTCAAAATAATCCAGAAAAGACAAGTGATTCATATAAATCGGACCAAAAATCGGGGTATATATGCCTAGCAATACTACAAATATTTATGATGATAATGATAATATTAGAAATAAATATAGATAATAATAATAATATTAATAACACAACATTAATAACAATGTTTTGTTATTATTATTATTATTATTATTATTATTATTATTATTATTATTATTATTATTATTATAGTGACGTTCCTACCCCTGAATGCATAGTTTTTGTATTTGATATTTCTTTTTGTCTTTATTGTATTACTTGCTACGGATATTTCATTCCGAAATAAAAGTTGGAATTATTATCATTATTATTATTATTATTATTATTATTATTATTATTATTATTATTATTATTATTAATTATTATTCTTATTATTCTTATTATTATTTTATTATTATCATTATTATTATTATTTTATTGATGGATGGATGATGATGATGATGATTATGGTTGATGATGGTGGTGGTGATTATGATGATGACGAAAATGATGATAATGATAATATTGATAATGACAATGGTAATGGTGATGATAATGACGAAGATTATGATAATAAAGATGATAGTGATAATAATGATGATAATCATAACAATCCTGAATATATGTAATGTTTGCTTCGTTTCGCACTAAAGCCAAAAGAAATCCTTGATCGGAGAACCATGGTATAACACCTTTATTATATCCACACACACATAATATTTATGCTGCCCATTCATATATTACGTAGAAATACCACGACGATTATCTTGTCATTTTATGAGACAAATAGCCGACTGCTGCGCCCATAAATGCTGAAAAACTAACTCTTTTAAAGATTACGTTTCATGTTATAAAGTTCACATGCCGTTAGTAAAAAAAATCCGTTTTGCAAAACAGTTGGTATTAATGCGCATGAGTATGAATCAAAAACAATATATCGTATATTTAGTCCGATCCTCAATCAGAATCGTAGTTTGTAATCGATTAAAAAAAAAACAAATTATCGACATCATTCTGTTTGACGTCAAACTGATTTTTGGTAGATTAGGCTAATCGAATAAAAGTATTAAATGGTAAAGTATATTTATACTTTTTTTAGAGAAATATTATAAATAATACATTTGTCTACTAGCTTTGCTAAGGTAAAAGACAAAATTACAGTAATTTTTTAATTGCTTAATTTGTAGATTTAAGTAAGTCATTATCTTAAAATTTGTCGATGATGCTGATAATGACGACGATGGTAATGATGATGATGATGAAGATGTTGGTGGTGATAATGATATTCGCAATGACTCGATAATTAAATAAAGTAGAACCCCTTCTTTGGGACACCCTATTAAGGAGACACTTTTTCAGCCATAAAATGAAAGAAAGTGGATCTTTTAACAGTACAGCCAATTCCTAGGGGACACCCCAATTAAGGGAACACTTCTTTTGGTACCGGCGATGCCCTCATAGTTGAGGTTCTACTGCAGTAATGATAATACTGACGATGACGGCTATTATTATATCATTTTTTTTATTGATATCATTACCATTTTAATTAATACCATATCATATTATTATTATTATTATTATTATTATTATTATTATTATTATAGTCATTTTTATATTGTTAATTTTTATAACCTTGTAAGGGTGAAGTTTTAAGTTGTACGTTTTCATATTATATTGATACCGAATAATAATAATAAGAATAATAATAATAATAATAATTATAATAACTACAATAAAAATAACAATAACAATAATAATAATAATAATAATAATAATAATAATAATAATAATAATAATTATTATTATTATTATTATTAATACTAGTTATATTATTACTAGTACTACAATATTTATTACACAACACAATTTTCAAATTGAATGAACAACATACGTAGGGCCTACATTTCATCACTAAGGATTCGGATCACGTGACAGATATCTCAAGATGAACAATTATATAAAACAAATATCTTGGTCATTAAAAAAAATTACAAAATAGACAATTTACAATTTTCTACAAATATACCTCTTTAAAATAGTTTGTTGCTGATGCTAATGCGTTTTAAATTAAAAACAAATATAAACACAGCTGCTTAGGGCAATTTAAAGATAAAACGCATTGTTTTTAATACTTGGTCGTAACAAATGCCTAACATTTCAATTGTTTAATTCTAAACATAATAAAATATGTATGAACATCATATATCTATACAGAAAGTATTTGTTTGCATTGTGTACCAATAAAGCATAAAATTACATTATATTGCAACACATTATATTGATCAGTTCTGGCATGATGTGCGCATGCGCACATCTTATCAGATTTTAAAAAATGTATATAAATACGGTCGTACGTTCATGATAATACTTATCGAGGTAGGCCTACAGTGCTCTTATTCTAGACAGCGAAAGCAGGGGGTGTCAATACCAAAGTAACGACTCAGCGCCGGAGACAAAGTAAGGTGCAGTGTTTGCATTCTATGACCGCGAAAGTTGGTGTGTTCAAATCAAAGTGACGATAAAATGCTCGAGACAGTGTGAGTCATATATAGATGATATAAGAGTGCTCAAATATGGAAATTTTTATATTATTGTTTATAAGCCATTTATGGCTATATATAATTCACGTATATGTAAGTCAAATTAATATAATATATACACTTAATAACTTATTTTTCATAAATACTTATTTTTTAATATTGACGTTACCCATAGTCACATAAATAATAATAATATGCATATTTACAATAATTACATATATATATATATTAATATACCATCTTAAAGATGGATCTACCTCTACCACACTAGGCACAGGGCAGCTCAGCTGTCGGGTGTGAGTGGAAAATGAGGGAGGTCTGGGGGACGTCGGAAGCCCCAATGATGTCAAGGACGGAGCCGGCCAAGTGGGGTCTGGAGAGAAGCCCATAATCTAAGCCCCATCGTCAGTGGCGGTCTAAGATTTTTTTCGCACGGATGGCATAAAGGACATTATGATAAGCCAAGGGAGCCAAGCCAATGGTCCTAGGGGATGTTTATGGGCGTTCCCTATTTTTGGCGTCTGAAAACTATTCCCCTGAAAACGCCAAAAAAAAAATTAGCTATGCCATAAGCATGACAGAAAATTACACTAATTATGACACAGGGCACATTGGTAAAAATTATCTTTTATCAAGATGCCACATATAGACATACGTACTATAACGCGTAATCGGCGATACAAACCTCAAGCTTGTTTCCATACAATCGCTCACCCTATCGGCGACAGTCGTCGCCTACAGTTGTTGGGAAGATTGAACCTGGTTTAACTTTGCCGATTGCGTTACAGACGAATCGAAGTGCCTTCCCGATCGCTTCGAGGCTACTAGCAATGCACCCAGGGGTGGCGCCAGGATTTAACCGACGGGAGGGGGGCCGGTGCCCCCGACGAGGTGTCAGATTTCCCTGACGAAAGCAAAGTGGGCGTGATCGAGCTTCGATTAAAAGGTTCCAAAAGTGGTCCTGGGGGCTAAGCCCCCGAAAATTTCGACAATTTAGGGGTTTCAAAGGCTTATTTAATCGATTTTAGAGTCTACTAATAAGTAAATTTTAATTTTTTTTCCCATGATTATGACATCATCTGATTTGATTTGTCAAAATATGTTTTTATCGCATAACCGATAAATCGTTATCGAATCGTTCTAGTGTAAAAACTTATCTCATTTCTTTTATTTTCTATATGAACAATTGCTTTTTTCAGCTTTTTTTTTTAAATCGTTATCGTTATCGCTGAACAGGCCTTAAGTCGGGGGTAGATGGCATCCGGTGCTGCTAAATAAAAGTTTAGACGGTTTGCACAGAACTTAATAACGCCTGCGTACGTCGGCCATTATCGTACGATGCTTTCTTGCATGACATGCCAACATATTCTGTACTCCTCCCGGTCTCAGAAATGGTCTCTTGTCGTTTCTTGGCACGCCGACAACAGCATAAACAAATTGCTTTGAATTCCTGTCTGAACTTGGCTGTAAAATAAGTAGTAAATACATAACGATTAAAGCATAATGACGTTACCGATATTGTGTACTATAATTAGGTTTATTATAATACCAAATTTACCCATTCCGTATCAATTTGCTATCAAAATAAACTCCAAACTAAAGCCTGTTATGGTTATTTATAACACATGCTCCTCTTATCCAGTACGTCTTCAGAATGTGATGACTGTAATCATAATAATCAACGTCATTAAGCAGTGTGAACTAATTAATAATTAAACTTAAATGTATATTAGGCCTATTATGTTCTTGGCAAATTAAATTATTTCGTAAAATTAATCATCTTTATGTTCTTAAGTAACACCAAAATACAATCTCATGAGTACATAGAAACGATGGCGCGTTACATTGTGGTTAGTTATGGTGAAAAACCCAGTTTTTTTGGCCAAAGTGGCGAAAAATTATTTACAAAGGTTTTTTGAGTAGAAACTATCTAAGAGGGTTTCAAGAGTCACAAAAAAAAAGTTGGAACAAATTTCCCCATGGGAAAAGGAGTTATGACCTTTTATATAAAGGTCAATCTATTTTTAGTAACAAACACTGAAACAGATGGGGAAGTCGGTTCTATCCCACATATGACCCAAAAAACAATTGCAAGAAAACTTATTTTTGGATGTTTTTTGTAGCATAAGGTCTAGAAAAGATGAGTATGTATATTTTAGCCAAAAATTGCACAAGCATCAAGTGATTTTTCCAAGATGGCCGCCAAAATGGCGTCAAAATCTTTAAAATAGCTATAAATTAAGTACCTTTTGTCTCGGAGTTTTTTTCTTAATTGAAACCAATTATAAATTCATCTGATAATGATTAAATAATAATTTTCAAAAATTGAATAATTCCAAAAAGTCATCCAAAATGGCTGCTATATTCATTTTTCATATCCGTAACCCATTAATTAGTAGTTCTATATAGTGGTGATTGCAGTGTGTATAAGAGACAGGTCAA